GATTGAGAGACCGTGGATTTCGAGGTTTAGGGTTTAGGGTTTCGGGTTTACGGTTCTCGGTTTAGGGTTTAGGGTTTCGGGTCTCGGGTTTAGGGTTTCGGGTTTAGGGTTTAGGGTTTCGGGTCTAGGGTTTCGGGGTTTGGGGTTTAGGGCTTAGGGTTTCGGGTTTAGGGTTTACGGTTTCGGTTTAGGGTTGAGGGTTTCGGGTCTAGGGTTTAGGGCTTTCGGGTTTAGGGTTTAGGGTAGAGAAGATTCCTCCAGGCAGCAGACACCAGCTCTTCGATGTCGGGATGCTTCACCGGCTCCTCCCAAAAGAGTCAGGATTTTGAGGGCTAAGGAAGTTAAGGGTTAGGGTTTCAAAGTAGAGGGTTTAGGGTATCAGGTTTAGGCTCCTCCAAACCCTCTCGGGTTGGAAGGCCGGAGCAGCTCCGCGGCGTCAAGGTCAGTCAAGTCCAGCTCAGACGTGCGGACAGACATCGAATTCAGACTTGAAGCTGAAACCTCTGAAATCTGAAATGCCATATCTTCTGTACTTTGAGACTTTCCTTGCAATGGCAGGGGCGAGCGAGCTACCCCACCTCACCCACACAAGCAGTTTTCAAGCGTCCTCGTCATGGCTCCGCTTGCCCATGATCCATGAGCTCTTATGGGTAATGTAGGAACCTGATTAAGAAACCCTGGCCCAATAACCCCATAGTAGAATTCAAAAAATGAAGCCTAATCAGGACCCAAGGAAACTTAATCAGGTTCCTACGTTAGATGGCACCAATCTTAGCAATTGTGCTTAAGCCTGAAGCCCAAAGCCTAGTTCTGGAGACTTGACCCTCTGAGAACACGCGATGCTCGACACTGCCCACGACCTGATTGCCTGCGCCAAGAGACTCTTCCATAAACACTAAGAGTTTAGGGCTTAGGGTTTTAGGGAATGTAACATTGGTCCAAGACCAAGAGGCTCGCGAGCGAAAAAAGTGGCGCCAAAAGAGTGTTCAAACGCGCTTTTAAACAGTCCTCCATGCCATTTCAAGCACTTGCGCTCACCGAGCTGAAGGCTGAAGAGTGCACCGGAGGAGCAATTTTTAAAACCTCGTGCTGATGTTTCCGGCTTCTGCGGGTTTTTGCTAGCTCTTCGGAGCGTCCGGCTCCGGAGTGTCAAAATCCGTCCGGCCTTGCGGACTAGCACTACAGCCACTATCTTATTATATGATCTCATATTATTCATTATAGGGCTCAACCTCATGGGGCCGGGTTGCAGTAGCACACGGGCTGCTCGTAGCTCTTGTCGTTTTTACTGCAGTCCACAGTGCCGCTGGTGTAAAAGCACTTACCGTCTGTCCCCGACGTACCGACAGGGTCGAAGAAGATCCCGTAGCCGCGGCCGGCGACTGTCGCGCTGCAAGTGTACCCCAGACCCTCGAGCAAGCGCGTCGCCCTGGGATGGCGGTTGATCTGCGCCATCTCAGTCTCGTTGCAACCATTGGTGCACACGTCATTGCAGGTCTCACCAAGCGCGCCGATCTGCCAACGGGTGGCCTCAGATCATCACCCCATCCGAAGGCCGTACATCACCGCTACCACTGAGGGCTTGAGAACTCGCGGCCAGAATTGAACACCCTCGAACCAGGACGCCCCCATGCCCCGGCATGCAACCTCGTCATCTGTCCACCGACATTAAGCAGAGCGGTGTCAAGAACCCCGCCAATCAGAAAGCCTAAACAATGAGCCCGCATGCAGACAAGAAACATCTGGAGTCGTTGTTGCAGTTGTCTCGGTGCTACACTGGCACACCGGCTTCTCATAGGTCTTCGTGTTGACGTCGCAGTCAACAGTGCCGCTCGTGTAAAAGCACTTACCGGCTGTCCCCGGCGTACCGGGAGGATCGAAGAAAATCCCGGTGCCGCGGGCGGCAACTGTCGCACTGCAATTGTACCCCAGACCCTCGAGCAAGCGTGTCGCCCTGGGATGTCGGTTGATCTCTTGAATCCGGGACTCGTTGCAGCCATCAAAGCCATTGAAGCGGCAAAAATCATTGCACGTGTCGTGGAGTTCTGCGACCAGCCAGCCAGCCTGTCACGACACGAAGTCGGCATGCAGCGGTGGGGGTAGTGGCTGTCAATCAACGGACTTACGTGCATTCTCCTGAACTGACCTCCCTGTCCATGTGCTGCTTATTTAGGCACCGTGTCCTGCTAACATTCACGGTGCTCTCGGATGCGTTGCCTGCCTGGCTCTTACCACAAGATTGCGAAAGACAGACGCTACAAAACAGCTGGCCAGAATTATCACCTGTCGTTTTCCGAGAGACTTTACCTATACAGGCGCATCTGTTGCACTTCTCATGTCCAGCCGAGCAACATCTGGAGTCGTTGTTGCAGTTGTCACGGTGCTACACTGGCACACCGGCTTCTCATAGTTCTTCGTGTTGACGTCGCAGTCAACAGTGCCGCTCGTGTAAAAGCACTTACCGGCTGTCCCCGGCGTACCGGGAGGATCGAAGAAAATCCCGGTGCCGCGGGCGGCAACTGTCGCACTGCAATTGTACCCCAGACCCTCGAGCAAGCGTGTCGCCCTGGGATGTCGGTTGATCTCTTGAATCCGGGACTCGTTGCAGCCATCAAAGCCATTGAAGCGGCAAAAATCATTGCACGTGTCGTGGAGTTCTGCGACCAGCCACCCAGCCTGTCGCAACACAAAGTCCACACACGGCTGTTGGGGAGATGGCTATCACTGTGGATTTAAGTGCATTTGTGTTCCATGTGGATGTGGTGAAATCAGCATTGTGACACCGGGTTGTGTCATTCTCCGCAACTCGCCATTTTGCAAGACTCACAACACAACTCTTCCACCGTGCCGCAGTGGCAGTTTCTGCCATGGGCCCTCCTTGCATTCGCACATGCATAAACAGTCTTGAACAGGGTTTGGCTTAGCCTCGCCTAGCTTGTCATCAGCACGGCCGGGTGGCTTATTGCAGTTTTCCGCCGTGCTGACCAATACTCTTGTTGGTGTGCTTATTGTTGCCCCTGCTGTGTTGCTATTCTTACTGCAACTATGCTTGCCCGCATCATGGCGAAACAACAAACATCCTCCTTGATTGCACTGTATGGAGTTGTGCCTGTGAAGCGGCTCAAATATTCTTTGGCGTGGCATGGCCTGCAATGTCTTCAGCGAAGGTAATTGTCGCGGAGATGTAGATGCTACAATTGGCTAAAAATCCTGGTAACAGCATGTCAGCATATCGAGTAGTCGTAGTAGTAGTAGTAGTAGTAGTAGTAGTAGGTAGCAGTAGGTAGCAGTAG